ACTTTTACGCTCGGGAAGTAAAAATTGCCACAAAAGACGAAGGGTGGGTGGGTGGGGTTAATTTTTACTTTATTTTATTGGATTCTAATATGGTGGATATTTATTATTTTTGAAATAAAAAAAATCACTTATTAAAAAGTAGGGGGGTGGAACAAAAAAAAATGAGAACAAAATTACAAAAAAATGCGATATTTTGATTAGCGAGTCATCATACGATTTTGCAGGTTTAAAGTTAAATTGTCAAATGTAAAATGTAAAATCACGACGGATTCATGAATCACAAGTAGAGGAGTGAGTTATTTTATAAAATTTAAATAGCATTCACTACGGAGAATTTTGAGGCGACGTGTTTAAATTGTTCGTGGGGACCTTTGGACAAATTTTGGTTAGCGCTTTATCATCTTCACAACATTCCTAAAATACGTGTAAAATTTGACAACAATCAGTCTCGTAGTTTCGGCGGCCCTGAGTTTAATAAAAATCGACACAGTCGACAGACGGTGGACGATACAGAGACAAACGAAAACCGGAGACCTACTGTTTCATACTCTATGGGCATGAAATGTAGAGAAAACATGAAAGTAGCCATTCACCGGGTGGCTCCTATTACAATATTTCCTTATCTTTTACGCTCAGGGAGAAAAAGGTCGCCAAAAAAGAATTTAATTTTTACTTTATTTTATTGAATTTTAACATGATGGCTATTAGTACTCACTTGATATTTTTGAATTTAAAAAATCACTTATTAAAAAGAAGGGGGGGGGGGAGGGTGGAAAAAATTACAACAAAATTACAAAAAATGGGATATTTAATTGTAAAATCATGACGGATTCATGAGTCACAAGTACAGGAATATCTTATTTTATAAAATTTAAGCAGCATTTACTATGGAGAATTTTGAGTTGACGTCATCAAATTGTTGGTGGAGATTTTTAGACAAATTTTGGTTAGCGCTCTATCATCTTCACGATATTCCTAAAATATCTATACAATTTTACAACAATCAGTCTCGTAGTTTCGGAGGTCCTCTGTTTAATAAAAATCGACACAGACCACAGACGGTAGACGATAGAGAGACAAACGAAAACGGAGACCTACTGTTTCATACTCTTGGGGTATGAAAGGTAGAGAAAACATGGAAGTAGCCATTCACCGGGTGGCTCCTATTACAATATTTCCTTATCTTTTACGCTCAGGGAGAAAAAGGTCGCCAAAAAAGAATTTAATTTTAATTTATTTTATTGAATTTTAATATGATGGCTACTAGTACTCACTTGATATTTTTGAATTAAAAAAATCACTTATTAAAAAGAATGGGGGGGGGAGGGTGGAAAAAATTACAACAAAATTACAAAAAATGGGATATTTAATTGTAAAATCATGACGGATTCATGAGTCACAAGTACAGGAATATCTTATTTTATAAAATTTAAGCAGCATTTACTATGGAGAATTTTGAGTTGACGTCATCTAATTGTTGGTGGGGATTTTTAGACAAATTTTGGTTAGCGCTCTATCATCTTCACGATATTCCTAAAATATCTATACAATTTTACAACAATCAGTCTCGTAGTTTCGGAGGTCCTCTGTTTAATAAAAATCGACACAGACGACAGACGGTAGACGATAGAGAGACAAACGAAAACGAAGACCTACTGTTTCATACTCTTGGGGTATGAAAGGTAGAGAAAACATGGAAGTAGCCATTCACCGGGTGGCCCCTATTACAATATTAAATTTCCTTATCTTTTACGCTCAGGGAGAAAAAGGTCGCCAAAAAAGAACTTAATTTTTATTACTTTATTTTATTGAATTTTAACATGATGGCTATTAGAACTCACTTGATATTTTTGAATTAAAAAAATCACTTATTAGAGAGAAGGGGGGGGGGAGGGTGGAAAAAATTACAACAAAATTACAAAAAATGGAATATTTAATTGTAAAATCGTGACGGATTCATGAGTTACAAGTACAGGAATATCTTATTTTATAAAATTTAAGCAGCATTTACTATGGAGAATTTTGAGTTGACGTCATCAAATTGTTGGTGGAGATTTTTAGACAAATTTTGGTTCGCGCTCTATCATATTCACGATATTCCTAAAATATCCATACAATTTTACAACAATCAGTCTCGTAGTTTCGGAAGTCGTCTGTTTAATAAAAATCGACACAGACGACAGACGGTAGACGATAGAGAGACAAACGAAAACGGAGACCTACTGTTTCATACTCTTGGGGTATGAAAGGTAGAGAAAACATGGAAGTAGCCATTCACCGGGTGGCTCCTATTACAATATTTCCTTATCTTTTACGCTCAGGGAGAAAAAGGTCGCCAAAAAAGAATTTAATTTTAATTTATTTTATTGAATTTTAATATGATGGCTATTAGTACTCACTTGATATTTTTGAATTAAAAAAATCACTTATTAAAAAGAAGGGGGGGGGGAGGGTGGAAAAAATTACAACAAAATTACAAAAAGTGGGATATTTAATTGTAAAATCATGACGGATTCATGAGTCACAAGTACAGGAATATCTTATTTTATAAAATTTAAGCAGCATTTACTATGGAGAATTTTGAGTTGACGTCATCAAATTGTTGGTGGGGATTTTTAGACAAATTTTGGTTAGCGCTCTATCATCTTCACGATATTCCTAAAATATCTATACAATTTGACAACAATCAGTCTCGTAGTTTCGGAGGTCCTCTGTTAATAAAAATCGACACAGACGACAGACGGTAGACGATAGAGAGACAAACGAAAACGGAGACCTACTGTTTCATACTCTTGGGGTATGAAAGGTAGAGAAAACATGGAAGTAGCCATTCACCGGGTGGGCCCTATTACAATATTTCCTTATCTTTTACGCTCAGGGAGAAAAAGGTCGCCAAAAAAGAACTTAATTTTTACTTTATTTTATTGGATTTTAACATGATGGCTATTAGAACTCACTTGATATTTTTGAATTAAAAAAATCACTTATTAGAGAGAAGGGGGGGGGGAGGGTGGAAAAAATTACAACAAAATTACAAAAAATGGGATATTTAATTGTAAAATCATGACGGATTCATGAGTCACAAGTACAGGAATATCTTATTTTATAAAATTTAAGCAGCATTTACTATGGAGAATTTTGAGTTGACGTCATCAAATTGTTGGTGGGGATTTTTAGACAAATTTTGCTTAGCGCTCTATCATCTTCACGATATCCCTAAAATATCTATACAATTTTACAACAATCAGTCTCGTAGTTTCGGAGGTCCTCTGTTTAATAAAAATCGACACTGACAACAAACGAGAGACAAACGAAAACGGAGATCTACTTTTTCATACTCTAAGGACATGAAGGATCGAGAAAACATAAAAGTAGCCATTCAATGGGTGGTCCTTATCACAATATTTCCTTATATTTTACGCTCGGGAAACAAAAATCGCCACAAGAGAGGAAGGGTGGGTGGGCGGGGCTAATTTTTACTTTATTTTATTGGATTCTAATATGATAACCATCAGTAATCAACTTGTTATGTTTGAATTAAAATGACAACAAAGTTACGTTTTCTTTTTCATTTTCTACGGGCATGAAGCGTCCAGAAAACATGAAAGTAGCCATAAAGTGTAAAATTGCAAAAACAAGACGGATTCATGAACCACAAATACAGCAGTATGTTATTTTATAAACCCCACGATATTGATTAATTTTATAATTAATTTCCAAAATTAATTATAAAAATTGTATCAAAAATACAGTGGGTAGGAAAGAAGACCAACTCAAAATGTGGAAAAATAGAGTGTTCAATGCAGATGCTGGTCTTACTGACCTCCCTTTCTTGTCGCTTTAGTGACGAGGAATGAAGGTGAAGCAGTTTACGTAACGTACTAATATTTTGTATTCAAATAACAGTATCACCATATATAGAGGAAACATAATTTGATAATGGAAAAAATATCTCCCCCTTATCTGCATGATTAAAATAAGATAATGAGATAACAAAAACTAATCACGTTCAAGGTTCTTATTACATAATTAAAAAATCAAGACCATAATAATTAAAATTTAGAGAATATCGTGCGGTAATATTTTCTACCCGTTTTTTAAGCAAATGTTCAAACAAGGTGTAGAATCAAAAAAAACATGTCGACGTAATTTCAGCTTTAACAATAACTAATTGCACCAAAATGGCAATTAAGGAAAAATTGTGATAATTTTTTAAAAGCTGAAAATAAAAACCGGCAATCAATTTTACCCGTCGATCGGCGCCATCACCAGTGCGACAAAAAATGGGACATTTAGTCTAGCTGTTTATTTTTAGAAGACAGTTTCATTCGAAGTCATATCGACCATAAATCCAAATCTTTAACTCCACCAGGGTGTGTAATAAATCCGACATGGAAGCCTGTGTTTATTTTTAGGTTAAAGTAAAATTTTTCGTAACATATAAATAGTCCACGAGGAAATCTAGTTTCTAATTAGAACACAGCTGAATTTCATAATCTGTCGAGTGGATCATTTCGCCAGGGATTTAGCCCACTATCGATCTTAAAAATCAAACCGAAAAACGAAACTTGCGAGGAATTCAGATTAGACCACCTACAGTGAAACTATTCAGGGCAGATCTGTTATTTATTTAGCTTGATTTCTTTCAAGCATCACTCCCCATCTGCATGCAATGTTGCAACTAAGACAAAGAAACGGTGTCACGTGGCTTCGCAGAAGCGCCAGCCAGCCGATAAGAGATGAATCTGCATATTTTATTGTCACACTGTCGAAAGACAAAAAGAAAACAATCCTGATAATGCTCGAGCTCTCTCGGCGATGATGGATGCGTACAAATCCGTAAACAAATCTTCGTAAAAATAGAATAAATGTATCTCGTGTTTATGTAGCGTAGCCGGATTTATTTTTCCACTTATTAATTCCGAAGACTGGATCATTTGCAAGCGTCAATTTTTGTCGCCGATCCAATTTCTAACAACTATGCGATTTACACCGATAGTACCGAGTTCGTACTGCACCGCGATAAGAGTCAGTGCTATCTAGCAACGGGTCGCAGACTGCGATAACGTGTCTTGCTCTCAGTACGTTTTTCGAACACTGACATAAACACTCGCTTTGTTTATAACCAACCAGTCCGAAATGAGACCGAAGTTGTACATGAGCGAAATCTGTCCTTCTGCACGAGCGGTGGTGTTGACAGCGAAGGTACTACAACTGACCCTTGAAGTGAAAGAAGTACCCACCGACCAGAAGGTACGTCAACGCGATTTGTACACATTTGTCGGACGATTTATCTCTGACACGCAATGGCGCTTGTCCAGGTCGTTCCTCCACAACAATGAATGAACCATTGTCTTTAAATAGCCCCTAGAAGCTATTGTTATACGAAAACAAACTATTTCTGTTACAGTGGAACCAAAACTCGATCCCGACTTTGGAGGACAGCGGTTACGTCATTTGGGACAGCCATGCGATCATAGCGTTTCTTGTGGGGAAGTACGGCCAGGATGACTCCCTGTACCCGAGGGACAACCGCAGGCGGTCCATCATCGACCAGAGGCTACGTTTCGACTCGGGGGTCATCTCGTTCTTCGCCAAAACGATCCTGGTACGACTTTCCACTCACCTCGGAAACAGTACTAACTCGAAATTTTAGAACCCGATCCAGTACGACGACAACTACAACACAATCGCGGAGATCTACGAAGTCGTTGAACATTTCTTCGACGAGAACAACCCCTGGATAGCCGGGGACGAACTAACCATTGCCGATTTGAGTCTAATCCCGTCGATTACGTCCCTAGATGTGGTGGTACCCATAGACGAGAAGCGGTTCCCGAAGCTGTCGCGCTGGATCAAGAGAGCCGAAGGCATGGCTTTCTACGAAGCCAACAAAAACGGGCTCTGTAAGCTCCGAGACGTGTTAAATCGGTGTTGACCCTACTATTTTCGGTTTTATTGTATTAGTGATAGGTGAGATTTGTGATAATAAGGCTATAAAAGCTAAGTACTGTACTGTAGATATAAGTTTTTATATTTTTGACGAAATAAAGGTCGTAACGGTTTGTCTGGTTTGGTTTAAGAGATGACGCTGAATTTGTTGTTGGATCGGGCCCAAATCGCTGGGATTATTCTGGAATTAGGAGTTGTCAGGCGATTAGTTGGCCACTCGAGTTGAGACTTTTATCGTAGACAGTTTAAAAGTCACCAGATAAGCGATCATTAATTTCGAGGATTCTTTTTACCTTCAAGAGGCGTCTTGGTATGTAATTGGGTAAATCAAATTTGAACTAATGTGCGATTAGTGCTACAACCCAAACACTCGAAACTTATCTCTTCGATTTTTATTTTGCCTTATCGGGCTTATTTGCGTCGTTGACTATCGCAGTGCGTAGTTTGGGCTTAAAATAATTGTAAAGTCAACAGTTCGTTGAGCTGATGGAAAATATTAGATTATTATTAATAACAACAATTACGTAAATAATAAGCAAGCGGATTTTGATATCTGAAAACTTAGCTCAAAAGATGGAAAAGCGTAGCAGAGAGTCGCCATACTCATAGGAAAGGTTAATTAAATTGAACCTAACTATTAGAGGACATAAAGCAATGATGTTCAGAGTCCGGGTTTATATGTACAAAATGCTGCTGAAATATGCGCATATAAAAAATATAAAAATATGCAGGGTTTTCAACACTCATTACGACTTTAAGTGAAAGAAGTATTAGTTTTATTACGATTGATATTAAAAAAATGCCCATTTCTATTAAATTTTTTTTTTGTTAAAATTTTGCTTTAAAATAAGAAACTATTTTTGTTGATTATAGTTTTATGCATAAGCGGTAGTCGTTTCTAGGTTCGTTTTTTTTGTCCGTTTAAAGAGGACAGTTCAAATGGCGCTTTATCTAACGCGGAAACTCATTTCACTCTACTTTGATATCATTAAATTATGATTAGCAGTGCGAAGTGCGAAGAAATGGAAAATTTAGTGCTTTTAATAGAGATATTTTAGTCGCTCCTTCCGTCCCGTTATTTCCGTGCTCGATGTCTGTTTTACGTAATTGCACACCTTAACTGAAGAAAACAAAGTGGTCCATGAGGGGTTTGAAACCGCTATCTTAGCGTTATTATCAGCACAACACTCTAACCAACTTCTGTAAAATTTGGATTTTTTTAGAAAATCCGGATGCTTAGGAAATAAAAAACATGGCACATTCATAAACCACAAGTACAGAAATATGTTATTTTATAAAATTTTAGTACCATTTATCATGTAAAATTTTGAATGGATGATATCAGTAGTTATATGATCGTAGTTTTGGTACTTGACAACAGACAGACGGACGGAAATGAGAGACCAATTGTTCCTAGTCTAGGGGCCATGAAACGTCGAGAAAACGTGAAACTAGTCGTTAGCCGGATGAACCCTATTACAATACTTCCTCAACTTAGCTCGGGAAGTAGAAAACTTCCAAGTTATAAACATTGAAAATGAGCCTTCTAAAAACGCTGTCAAAAAATCAAAAAATTAAAAACTAGAAAATTTCTAAAATAGAAACTCGAAAAGTTGAAAAATCTAAAAGCCGATTATTTGCAAAATCGTAAAATTGCGCAATCAAAAAATATTGCAAAATTGTAAATTTAGAAAAAAAAATCCAAAAATGGAAAAATCAAAGGACCAAAATATTGAAAATTGAAAAATCTATCATTCCATAAATTGCGATATTCCCCAGTTTTTCCAATTTACGATTTTTCAACAATTTCATTTTCCGATTTTTCAATTTTTCGATTTTTATTTTGCAGTTCTTCGATTTTTCAATTTTAAATTCTTCAGTTTTTCGATCAAGTTTTAAAATTTTCAACTATTCGATTTTTCAATTTTTAATTTTCCAATTTTTCAACTTTTCAAAATTTCAGTTTGAATAAATTTGTTGTTCGTTGTGAAAGATTGAAAAAATAAAAACGAGAACTTTCGAAAATAAAAATCGAAAAATTGAAAATCGAAGAACTAAAAAATCAAAAAATTGAAAAATCAAAGCTGATAATTTGCAAAATCGTAAAATTGAAAACTTGAAAAATATTGCGAAATTGTAGCATTAAAAAATAAAAAAATCGAAAAATGAAAAAATCAAAGGACTCAAAAATTGAAAATTGAAAAATACATCAATCGATAAATGCGAGATTCCCGACACCGACACCGACACCGACACCGAGCTCGTAGCTGCAACTCGACTTCCTATTCCGGTGAGTATACGTGTTCTATAATACGATAAGAAAGGGGTCAAACCTCCTATAATAAAAATTTGATTTTGTGAAATTTTAAAGCCATAAGTTAAAAAATATAAATAATACCAGTCACAGTATAAGAAAAAAATAGCCAATGAGGAAATTGAACCTGCGACAGTCGGGCTATTGATACACGATCTTATGAACTGATCCATTCTCAGTTCCCCACTAATGTTACTATAAAACATTACAATAATTTCGTTTTTCTTTGAAAAGTCTAAATGCAATTTTTCGATTTTTTAATTTTTCAATTTTTCAAAACTTCAGATTGAATAAATTTTGAATTTTTGAAAAATTGAGAAATTAAAAACGAGAACTCTAGAAAATTAAAATAGAAAAATTGAAAACCGACGAACTGAAAAATTAAAAATTAGTAAAATGGAAACTCGAAAAGGTGAAAAATTGAAAACTGAAAAATCTATCAATCGATAAATTGCGAGATTCTCCAGTTTTTTGAATTTACGATTTTTCAACAATACCATTTTTCGATTTTTCATTTTTCCAATTTTTATTTTGCAATTTTCAATTTAAAATATTCAACTATTCGATTTTTCAAAATTTCAGTTTGAATAAATTTGTTCTTTGTTTTGGAAAATATAAAAATGAAAGACAAAAAAAATTTTAAATCGAAGAAATGAAAAATCAAAAAATTGCAAAACCTCCAAATAAAAATTCCAAAAATTGAAAAATTAAAAAAAGAAAAGTTGATAATTTGGAAAATCGTAAAACTGAAAAATCGAAGAAGATTTCAAAATTGTAAAGTTGGGAAAAATAAAAAAATCGAAAAATGAAAAACCAAAGGATTGAAAAATAGAAAATCTATCGATAAATCCGAGATTCCTCATGTTTTCGAATGTAACACTTCCATTTTTCGATTTTTCATTGTTTCAATTTTGCTATTGCAATTTTTTGAATTTTCAAATTAAAATTATTCTGTTTTTCAATTTTTCAAGTATAAATTTTTCAGTTTTTCGATCAACTTTTAAAATTCTCAACTATTCGATTTTTCCGTTTTTAATTTTCCAATTTTTCAATTTTTTAACATTTCGGTTTGAATAAATTTGTTCTGTTTTGGAAAATTGAAAAATTAAAAACGAGAACTTTCGAAAACAAAAATCGAAAAATTGAAAATCGAGGAACTGAAAAATAAAAAAATTGCAAAACTGCAAATTTAAAAATCGAAAAATTTGAAAATTACCAAAATGTGAACTCAAAAAAGTCGATAATTTGCAAAATCATAAAATTGAAAAATGGAAAAATATTGCAAAATTGTAACATTGGAAAAAATATAAAAATCGAAAATTGAAAAATCAAAAATTGAAAAATCTATCAAACGATAAATGCGAGATTCTCAGTTTTTTAGAAGTTAAGGTTTTTCAACACTTCAATCTTTCATTATTTCGATTTTTATTTTGTAATTCGTTAAATTTTTAACTTAAAATTAATCAGTTTTTCGATTTTTCAATTTTAAATTTTTCGGTTTTTCAACATTTAGGTTTGAATAAATTTGTTCTTTGTTTTGAAAAACTGAAAAATTGAAAATGAGAACTTTCGGACATAAAAATCCAAAGATTGAAAATCGAAAAACTGAAAAATCAGAAAATTGCAAAACTACAAATTAAAAAATCGAAAAATTGAAAATTACTAAAATGGAAACTCAAAAAATTGAAAAATCAAGAGCCAATAATTTGAAAAATCGTAAAATTGAAAAATCGGAAAATATTGCAACATTGTAACATTAGGAAAAACAAAAAAATCGAAAAATGAAAAAATTAAGGCACTGGAAAATTAAAATTTGAAAAATCTGTCACTCGATAAATTGCGAGATTCTCCAGTTTTTGGAATTTACGGTTTTTTGAGAATTCCATTTTTCGATTTTTCATTATTTCAATTTATATTTTGCAGTTTTAAACTGGACACTGGAAAAATTGAAAAATCAAAAGGCAATAATTTGCAAAATCGTAACATTGAAAAATCGAAAAATATTGCAACATTGAAAAAATCAAAGAACTGAAAAATTGAAAATTGAAAAATCTATCAATCAATAAATTGAGAGATTCTTCAGTTTTTCGACTTTACAATTTTTCAACAATTCTATTTTCTGATTTTTCCTTATTTTGTTTTTTAATTTGTAATCTTCTAAATGCAGTTTTTCGATTTAATTTTGCATTTTTTCAAAATTTCAGTTTACATAAATTTGTTCTTTTTTTTGACAAATTGAATAATTAAAAACGGGAACTTTAAAATCAAAAATCAAAAAATTTAAAATCGAAAAATTGAAAAATCAAAAAATTGTAAAATGAAAAAATCGAGAAATTGAAAATACTAAAAGAGAAACTCGAAAAAATGAAAAATTGATAAATCTAAAAGCCGATAATTTGCAAAATCGTAAAATTGAAAAATTGAAAAACATTGCAAAAGTGGAAAATCAGAAAACGTAAAAAAATCGAAAATTGAAAAAACAAAGCACTGAAAGTTTTTCGAATTTACAATTTTTCCACAGTTCCATTTTCCGATTTTTCATTATTTTGATTTTTAATTTGCAAATCTTCTAAATGCAGTTTTTCGATTTAATTTTGCAATTTTTCAAAATTTCAGTTTAAATAAATTTGTTCTTTGTTTTGACAAATTGAAAAATTAAAAGCGGGAACTTTAGAATCAAAAATCAAAAAATTTAGAATCAAAAATCAAAAAATTTAAAATCGAAGAATTGAAAAATCAAAAAATTGTAAAATTGTAAAATGAAAAAATCAGGAAATTGAAAATACTAAATGAGAAACT